CGATTCCGGTAAACAATGTCGCTAAAATCATCAAAATTCCGAATATCGGGAGGTACCGTTATATGGGGGCTATATGATAACTTGGACCTACATGGCCCATTTACGAACTTAACCTGCCTACTGGGAAAATATACATGTGTGCAAAATTTTAGCCTTCTATCTCAATTTGTTCGAAAGATAGCGTGATTACAACAGACAGACAGACGGACATGGCTAAATCGTCTTAGAATTTTACGCTGATCAAGAATATATATACTTTGTTGGGTCTGACATGAATATTTCGAGGAGTTACAAACGGAATGACAAAATTAATATACCCTCCATAGTATGGTGGAGGGTATAAAAAAGGAATTATTTTACTATGAATTACGAATCGTGCTGTATGAACGGGTTAATTCGTGTACCTAATTCTGAGAGCGAACAACGTTGTTCGGTTTCCAATGGAAACATGCTATTATTGGTTTACAATTGTGTTGGTGAACACACAGATATCCCATGGGAAGAATAATTCAGGTAAAGGCAAGTGTTGTTGTACAACAATCATAACAACAACCACATACAAATTTGTCAGAGTTATGTGTCCAAAAATGTAAACAAAATAATTAATTTTCAGTAATTTATTTTAATTACAAAAATATACATTTTTGGAATATGGATTATTGAAATATTATATCTTAAATATATATCTTAAAATATTTATTTTTAATGTTTTCACATCATTCCCCTGAATGTATAGTTTAGCTGTTGGTCCTAATCTCTCAACACTTCAAGCAATCGCTAGAAAATCTCGAAAAATGCAATATAACTTTCAAGTTGAAAGCAAACCGCAAACATTCATAAAGTATTCTAAATTTTGCAATTTTAGGAAATATGTTTATGCTGTTCCTTAACCACAAAAAAAGTATCCGGACCATCGCCTTTGGCGTTTTGTTAAGTACAACGGCGATTTGTTCTATTATTAGACTTAAAACATTTCTACATTGCCCTGCAGAGAAATTTTATATCAAAAAGGGTATACCTATTGTATATCAAGAAATAACATTAAATCAAAAAAACGATTGAAACTACTATTACTATTGAGTCAAATCATGGTAGAAGAATATAGGTAGATGCATCAACGCTTGGGAACATTGATATGTCAAAAATTTTAAAATGTTTTATGAAAAATAAGTAATTTTTCAAATGTTTTCCTATACGACGCCATTCGGAGTTTGTTATAACACGCATTTTTGAACAATTTTTACAAATTTCGATAATTTTTCATTCAACATTTTCAATTCCAAAATCGGTTTGACAGTTCATTGTCCCAGCAGCTGTGTCGATGCGACTACCTGTATTCTTATATATTCTTCTACCATGAGCCAAATCAACTGTGACTTGCTGTTACCTGTAATAATTATACCATGGGGATGCTATTTGCCTAGCGCTGCTTTACATTAAGTGCAAAACGGCAAAGGTAACTTTGATTATAAAAATGCATTAAATGTTTTAAGACCGATGTAGTTGTTTTGATTATATGGAGGGCTCACTGCTATACCGAACCAAGTCATGAAAAATAAAAAATGCCGAAATTAGTGCCAATGTCCCCGTATATGGAAACTCTGTTTACTCTGTAAACCACAATGTCAAAAAGTGTTTCTTTCCAAAGATAACGGTAAAAAACCTAAGTCAACGACTGTCATTTTCGACTTTTTTCAAATCAAAAATGAACCAAGTCAGCGTGTTTCACTTTGAATCAGTACTATTAGTGTTTAGTTTACAGCAATATTAAAAAAAACATCAGTGTTTTCTATAAATGGATAGTAATTATAGCAGTACTAGTGATTTTTCCTGTTATGAAAATGAGGAATATTTGCCAGCCCCAAAAATGATGAAGACGGAAATAACGAATTTTTTATGTGTAAATATTTGTTGAAACCATGGTAAAATTAAGAAGGTAAAGTAATTTCAAATAAGCATATCCATCTCTGCATTTTGTGTAATTTACTCTGTCAAATTCCCTGCATAGATAGCAGGTTCTTATCTCTGATTTGTATGTACAATGGATTTATAAGTATACATTTTGACAACGAGATGTTGTCAAATGCATAACTTTGAAAAAAAAAAACAAGTAAAAAAGCTGTAAGTTCGGGCCGAACTTTGAATACCCTCCACCATTTGGTACAAATTTGGCAATTATCAAAAAATTAAAATCCATTAAAAATTCAGTTAAAATCTTAAAAATACCGAATGTAGCCGCATATTAGGGTCTATACGAAGACGTGGACCTGCACATAATATTCATTATGAACTTCAAATACTAAATTTGAAATAGTTCCGATAAGTAACATCACTAAAAACACCGAATATCGAAGGTACCGTTATATGGAGGCTATACGAGGACGTGACCCCGTTTGAATACCAAAAGTCCTGCAGACATAATACACATTTGAGTAAATTTTTATCAACTTACTTCATTTCGTTCGGAAGCTAGAGTGATTTCCACAGACGGACAGACGGATTGATATTGTTAAATCGACATAGAATGTTATACTGATTAAGAATATTTCGAGGTGATACAAACAGAATGACAAACTTACTCTCCATACTTTAGTGGAGGGTATAAACATGTAAACATATAATTGCATGACTTTACATTCTTATTTCTACCATAGTATAAACATTAAATTTTAACATTAATTTATTTTTTTTTTAAAAAATTAATTTTGGTTAATTCTGTTTTTTATCGGGCTTTTTTGGTCGGATTATTTTAAAATTAAAATAAGATTTTATTTCATTTTTTGCTTTTTTCCAACATTTTCAAGAGCTTATTTATTTGAAATTCTGGTAACAAAATGAAGAAAAAATTATATTATTTTTATTTTCCTTAAAATCACAATGGTTCTCAATTACAACAGAAGCACTCGCAGCTGCCAGCCGCTAAACCAAGACATGACTCAAAATAAAACTCCGAAACTAGTGGGAAATTAATCGCTAAAGTCAACTATATTTAGTCATATAACGAACACTTTATTTTATTTTTTGACTTGGTTCTCTTTAGCTGTGAAAGCTTCAAGTTTTATTCAGAGTAATAATGAACCAGAGTAGATTTTTTTGTTTTTGAAGATTTTTTTAGTAATATATTTAAATAATTTTTATTTTAAATTGATATCATTAGTTAATTTTGAATATAGACTTTTACATTTTCTTTTGGTAGACTAAAATATTCCTTCCAGAAATTAATAGCAGTGCATTTACTTTACCTCTAAATATCTTCGAATTATGTTTTTATGACTTAGTTCGGTATAGCTGTGAGCCCTTCATATGTAATGTGTCATGGTACAACAAGGAGGTAGAACAGCTTCGTAAAACTACGGAAATACAGCCCGCTTCCTGTCAAATTTGTATTTAAAATCAGTTAAACAGCAGGAAAAATGAATGAAATGCCTGGATTTTCTTTCAAAAATATTTTCAAAGCAGTTCTATCTTTCAATTCCATGGCAAAACTGGCGAATAGATTTAATGCGCGTTTCGCAATTCACACGCCTTCCAAACATTGATTTTGATAATATTTTGTTTTTATCTTTCAAAACAATAAATACATGTACAAAATTGGCAGAAGTCGGGCACACTTAGAAAAAGATTGTAATCTGCTGGTAGCTCTACCTTAGCTTCTTACATGGTAGAATCAAGGAGGGGAAGTCATGCAATCATATGTTTACAAATTTTTCAAAAATTATTCATTTGACAACATCTCGTTGCCACAATTCGTATTTATAAATCCATTGTACATACACATATCAGAGATGGGAACCTGATTTTATGTAGTGAAATGTGACAAGGTAAATTACAGAAAATGCAGAGTTGGGAATGCTTTTTTTAAAATACTTTACCTTCTTAATTCTACCATGGCTTTTTAATGTACCATGATAATGTGTATTCATGACATACACATACTCTTACATATATTAACATAAACAATATCTTTCTTTTACACACCAATAAGTCTTATATTCCATGATATGTTATATTTCTACGGAACTACCTTTGGGTGTCGTTTTTTTCTGCAATAAAGCTAGATTGGGATCAGAATTACTCTCGGACGATTTCAACAACATTTTCTTAACTGTCTGCCCAGACAATTCTGCTAAAGCATTTAACCATGGTGAAAACGGACTCGAGGTAATTTGCTCAATTCAACATTCCCGATAAAAATGTTTAAATTCCTTCCTAAAAGACAGACAGAAAATCTAATGCCGTTCGCGTACCCACACAGGCTTTGTAATTTATTTACATAACGCCACAGAAAATAATTGAATTACTAGATGTTTTTATAATATTATTTTTCTTCAAATAAAACGAAATAGCGGGGTTTTCACAAATTAGGTGTGTCTGGTTACCCTAAAATTTGTAATAATCGTTACAAATTGTTACTGGAAGTCGTCTGTTAACCCGAAAGTTCTGCAAAAGAGAGTGGTTGGAGAGAGAAATTTTGACAGTTCTTTCAGTGAGAGTTTGCAAATTCTTGCTGGACAAAGTTCTTCTTGCAATCTCTTGCAACTCTTCTTCTTCTCATTCATCAACATTCAATCAGATGTCTTCTATTGTTTATTTTTTTCATTTTGTGTTTTTAATTTGAAAATATTATTTTGGAATTAACAAGACTAATTGTTTTTGGAGAACAACTTTACAAAATGTGAAAAACATAAATATTAATATGTAATAAGAAAATAAAAGACTATTTCCAACATTTTTATTTAAAAAACTGTGGTGTGCGCCTGTAAGAGGGTTAAGCTTTAAATGAAAGAAGAAGAAGAATTTAAAACTAGCCATTCACCAGAATGAACTGGGGAATATAGCAATTGTCAAATGTCATGAAGGGGAAATAAAAGAAAGAGGGGAATAATTGTAGGGGAAAAAACGAGGAGGAGATGATCCTTTTTTGATTAGACCTGCAAAGAAGATTGGACGTGTGGCTCCCGTGAATCCCAACAAAGAGAGTAAAAGTAGTTGGTGTAAAATAATTTTTATTAATAAATCAAAATCAATGCTATTATTATTATTACCTAATATTGGCACAACTAATTATATTTAACTAAGCAAAATAATGAGCTAAATATAACTATATTAACACATATAGCTCTTACAAAATAGTGCTTTAAAGAAAAATTAAAGCGAAAGCAAAGCTGTAAGAAAAACTGTAATACAAAAAAAAAAAAAAACAGGAAATAAACACTGCTTAAAATATGAAAAAATAATACCAATACATAAAGACTTTAAAAACTCAAAGGAACGCCAAGACAAAAGCAACATCAACAACGACTGGAGGCCACACCGGGAGTCCACTCAACACCGTTCAATCCACCGAGGGAGGCGCAGTGTTTATGCATGACCAGACTGGCATGCATGGGTATTATTCTCGATCCCAATAGACAATCTTACAACATACTCGGACAGACCGACGGACGACAAGCCAATTAATTAGATTCCGCATATGAAAAGAAAAGAAAGAGAGATTATTAGGAAAGGCTAAACAAAAGGATTTAGAGTTAGTTTGACTTACCGTATTTGCGGAATAGGTACAGAACTCCGAATCGAGCTCAATTCAGGGTTAGGCTACCCTAGCATCTCTACTGTTGCCCTTATCGCCGACAAATTTAGTGTTGGTTATCCTTTTTGTTCGCCCTTTTTACCTAAAAAAAAAAAAAGAAAAATTAAATTAAAAAAAAAAAACAAGGAAGCAAAAAAATAAAATAATAATAAGCGTGAATATAATTATAGTGCAACTACTTTAAACGTACGAAGACATACACATTTATTTGGGAAAAGGTTGATACCCGATGTACGCCACTTCCACAGCCTCCTCTAACTCTAAAGGAGAGGAAAGAATGTTCCTGGTGCCATCGAGCCCTGAAAAGAAATAAGAAATATTTTATTGTTTTTTTTAAGAGCACAATTTATATATTTATCATGAATTCAATTTAAAGAGGATGAATTATATCGTTTTTTTTTTTTTGAATACTTTAAAATTAATAAATTTTATAACGATATTTAGAAATTCTTGATTTTCAATATGGAAATACACTAGACACAAGGTAAGAAAACGTAGGTCCTAAACAGGTAGGGCGAAGTATGGGGTATTCCAGGAAATAGAATAGGAGAACAGGGATACCATGGTGGGGTGGGAATTTCTCCAGGCACGGTGCATTACAAAACCGTGCCAAATTAACCGGTTATTCAAACCTATTATAAAACCCATATGATTCGTTGTCATTTTTTGTCATCCCTCTAGCAATAATTTTTAGTTTTTTGTCCACTCTTCCAAGGTCTAGCACATTGACAAGAACTGCGGCCCCATAGACTGAGCTGTCGCCGGTGCAAAAATTTGTCAGCTAGCCAGCCGTCAGTGTGGTAGATCTGCCCCCAAATGATAGAGGTCCCCAGGACAGGACAGGACAGAACTTGTAAAATTAGTATTGGTTCCTTTGTTTTAATTCTCCTTATGGGGGACAAATGAGGGATTCTTGGCAAGACCTTAGCTGTGTCTACAGCATTTGTGTATTTTTGTATAAACATTTGGATTACATTATTGGGTCTCCACAGTGTCAGCAGCATGGAGTTAATTCAAAAAACCCCTTTTCTTTCATATTTTCATTTTTTTCGAATGTAAATAATAAATGTTTTGACAAAGAAAGCAAGTATTATTGACATTTGTGGAAGTTGTAAAGCGAATTCGAATTATATTGACAGAAAATTTAGTTATCAGCGGGTTTTGCTTGTCGACCTTATAATTGGGCCATGTAAAATAGTAATTCTCAAGGTGCAATTGACAATCATATGGTTTTTACCTTTTTTCATTTTTGTTTGTGAAAAAACTTTTCAAATTCAATTAAATATTTTTCCAACTTTTTGTTTCATTAAAATTTCTAATTTCCAATGTTGTTTTTTGTAATAGATACTTATTTTGGTTTTTGAAGGCTGCTTTGGAGTTTGTGGTAGCTATTGAAACTGATGCTTAAGAAAAGGAATTTATAGAGTTAAGTTTATGGCGGTAATAGTATCTAAGTTAAAATCGGACAAGAGGCTATTTATACGCATTGATGATGTCAAAAGGTAATGGCTGAGTATTGCTTCTGCCGATGACGCTAGTCGGAACTTGAGCACTTTTTGCCTGATGTCGCTGCTGTTGTGTTCACTGTCGAGTCTGAAAACTAACAACCTTGGCGTGCCAAATATTCCTTTTTTATAGTCTCCAACATCCTTTAGCGATTATATTATTAAGTTTATCATTCGATTTTAACTCCTCGAACTTAACGTCCGGATGCTGATTTCACAATAAAACCCGAAAATGTTTATTAATCTCGACATGTGTCCACTTCCCTTTGTGGGGAAATTACCAGAAAGAAGACAACATTTCACATATTCATTGAAGGCGTAAAGTTGGTAGAAAATATTGGACGCTCGAAGTTTGAAGAATATCGGACATTGATTTCATTTGAGGGAAAGGTACGCTGCCGAGTGTGCCAATATTGTCCATAGTCGCACCTGACCTGTGTTGTTTATACATTAAAATGTGGAAAGTTTGAAAAATATATATTTATTTTTAAAAATTTGGATTTGATTTTTTTGGAGGGAGATAGCCACCTCCCAACTTGATCTTTGTTTGACAAAAACAGGGCAAAATTGAGAAGGTAAAGTAATTTAAAATAAGACTCTACATCTCTGCATTATGTAATTTACCTTGTCACATTTCAGTGAATAAAAAACACGTTCCCATCTCTGATTTCTGTGTATAGCTGATGCACACGAGAGCTATCGTGTGCATCAGCCGGACGTGTATTTCTAGATCGACTCCAAATCTGATACGGATTTCTTCGAAAGGGATGTAAAATATAAAACCATCCAGATTATGTAGACATTTTTAATGCGCTTGAACGCGCGGGAATTTGCGAGTTTAAATTTCAACAGAATTTAAATTTTTTATTCAAAACTATACATGCACTTACAAGTTGTAACATTACAAGACTACCAAAAGAAACAATTGTATTCATGGCTTTTTTATATATATATTATGTTTGTTATTCCGTTCGTAACACCTCGAAATATACATTGTAGACCCTACAAAATATATATACAATTGATCAGCGTATAATTCCAAGTCGATTCAGCGTTGTCCGTCTCTCTGTAGTAATCTTTCTAACGAATTGAAATAGAAGGATAAATTTTTGCACACGTGTTTATTTTGCCAGTAGGCAGTTTAAGTTCGTAAATGGGCCACGTCGGTCCACGTTTTCGTATAGCCCCCATATAACGGCAAACGTTAGATACGGCACGGCAACTTACATCCGAAGTACATTATACTAGACTTGTTTGTGTACATCTGGCATAGAAATGTGTGGGGCTTAGTGCGAGCGGTACGTAATTCGTATCGACTTTTATATACTTCTGCAGCTACTTCACATTTAAGTTTGCGAACATATTGAAAATTGCAGGATGCTAATTTGCATATTTCATTGAATAATATTCTCCTCAAAACATTAATATTAAAATGATAGATCAATGCATTTTATTAACCTTTTCTAATTTATTAATATATGTATGTAATATGACAAGTTTTAAATAACATAGTTTTAATATATATATATATTTTTTTAATTATGAATGTATGCAAGAATAATATTGAATACCAGATAAAATAACATTGACGTCTCTTCCGTTTTTAAAACATGTGGCCAAAGCGTAGGAAAAAAACTCTTTTAGGAAACTGCGTTCTAGCGTTACTAGAATAAATTCATATACATTAAAAACTGTATGATTTGAATAACTTCTGTACGGGGGACGATAGAAACGAAGATGATCCATATCTATATTTCTGTTGACAACATGCATTCTACTTTTTTTAGTGTTTTACCGCTGTTGATTGTAAACTGGAATGTTTTGTTGCATATTTGTCTGATAAGGTTGCGAAGTAACTGTCATATTTGCCATTTGGTGCTGCAGCTGGCCAAATTGGTCGTCTAGTGGAGGTGGCAAGTGCGAAGCCTGTTGTTGAGGACCTACAAATGTAGATTGAGGTGGACCATTTGTTGGCAGATTTTGGTGGACATATATAGGGGTAGGGTCTGACAGAAGCTGAGAGGAAGAACTATTTACATATGACTGTGGTGTTTGTTGAAGAGAACTTTGCTGCGGAGAACTGAAGTATGATTGCGGATGATTCTGAGTGGGATGTGTTAGTGGCGCCTGTTGGTTTGTCGGCATGGTATTTGTTGGAACCGAAGGAGATTGAGTTTGTATGGCATAATGTTGTGGAACCTGATACGTTTGGAGCTGCTGTGTATCAACTGAAACAGGTATATTTGCAGAAGATCCTTGTATTTGGCCATTGGATGCCATATAAATCTGCTGCTGGGAATGATTTTGTGGTAAAGATAAGGGCTGTTGGGAAATTATCTGCGAATTCGATTGTCCATGAAGACCTTGATGTTGAGATGATTGTGAGTTCGATTGGCTGCTTTGGTACGGTTGCATCGATATATTCATTGATTGGTAATTAGCAGTTGTTGGAAAAGCCACTGATGGCAGACTACCCTGTAAACTGTGCGGTCCACTATTAAACCCTCCAATAAATCCTGCATTGGATCCGTATAACATGTTGTAGCCATGTTGGGGCATATTATGGTAATTCGGCATGCCAGGAACACTAGACACGTTATTCACGCCGTAAGGAGATCCCATTAAATTTCTATCATCTCTCATTAAAGAATGGTACAAATTGATAGCGTCCACCAAATCGCTAGATAGTTGCGACAGTTGGGCGTGCTTTCGGTCGACTCTTTCAAGCTCTGTATCAATTAACGGACCCATTTGATGTACTTCTTGTTCCAATCGTAACATTTCTTCTGTATCTTGCGAAGGGTCTTCAGGGTTGGCTTCATTAATCAAATGCAACAGACGGTCAATTTTCTTTTCGTCTATCTCAATCTTCTGCGATGCAGCAGCTGCCGCTGCGGCTTCAGTCTTGTGCTGCAGTTCCTTAGTGTCTTCTTCAAATTGTGAACTTTTTTTCATTTTGTGTTGCTGATTAATCTCCAATTGTTGAGGATCCACTGATAAATCTGCGGTGACGAAATTCGAAGGAAATAAACCTTCACCGCGTTGATTAAACCCTTTCCACCAATTAGGATCCGAATCATCGAGTACGTGTATAATATCTCCTGCAGCAAATGTCAATTCATTTTCCTCAGCGGCTTCAAAATCGTATAGTGCACGAACTTGGCGAGTTTCCACTGCATTACTTACATGTGATGTAGCATTATTGGAAACCGATGGGTATAATGATGGCTAAAAATATATTAAAAGTCGCAATTAATTAACTTGTCAAATGATCTATATGGAAGGATGTTTAAGAACTCAACAATTATAATATTAGATGTAACAAATATATGTTTGATGGGAAATATCGTCCATAATTCTTGAGAATTCTTTTAACATTACCAACAAATTGGGAGTCCTATGAATTTAGACTAGAGTAAAAACTAATTCTGTTATCCATGGGGGACACAATTTCGAAATTCTCAACATGAATAACAAATCTGTTGGGTTTTCTGTTGTCCATTTGCAATGGGAGTTGTGACGGAAGGTAGGAAGCAACTTATAGAAAATTACCGAATTCTAGGATATTCTGCACTCAGCACTGACGGCGTAAATGTGTCAATTGAGAAACGTATATGTGAAATTACTTACATAACTGGATGAACTGCCACCGGATGAAGAACCAATGTTTTTCGGGCTATTTTTAACGTCTTTTAAAGACAATTCTATAGCTTTGGCCAAGTCGTCTTCCTCTTGTTGTCGAGTTGCATTTGGATCTTTAGCTGTGACCATTTTTGCAGTAGATTGTGTTGGTTTGTCACTCGAACCACTGAAATCATAATTTTCTTGACGTAGTTTAGTGTATAAAGATGGGATAAGATTTAGTTCAGGATCGCTTTTGAAGTCGCCCTCCGCCCATCCTTTCAATACATGGCACATTCTCTGCACAAGAAACATTATACAATATATATTATGGATAATGAAACATATTTCCAACTTACCGCAGCTACTTTCGGTTGCACTTTTCCTAATAACCTTAGAAATTCGTTCTGAAACTCGCGAGACGCTATTTCCAAATGAAATGGTTTGCCACAATTGTTTACACATGCATCCAGTAATGTAATGGCTTGCATAACGACATGCGGGTCGTTGTGGCCCATCCTTTTCATAATGGCCTTTAAACACTCTTTGGCATTGCGACTATTCGAAGACGTCTTGTCACACACATCAAGTATTAATGCCCAATTTTCATTGGTGTTTGATTCGCTTGTGGCCTTTTCTAAAACAGGACAAAATAAAAAAGGGGTTATAAATAATAAAAAGTTGAACATCATCGCGAAATTGTATCTTTATTTATTTGCGCATTCGTAATTTATTATATTTTCCAGGCTTTTGAAGAAATTTTGTGCGTGGTCAGGTCAGCAAGTATTTTGTCGTCTATTGCATTTGACGAAGCAAACTAGATGCGCAACCAAAATCCAATTAGTTCCTCGGCTTTCTGCGTTTATCCCCCACTTTATCCTCCACTTACCAACATCCGCATCAAATCCGGAGGATTGTCCAAATATTCCCATTTTCCTTTGTTCGGTTTTCGGAGCGACGTTTAATATGTTGTGATAAATATACTGACTTCTAAACAAATGATCCTAATTTTCCTTAGCGTAATTATGAATTTTTGCAAGTATTTCCCGAATGTAATAAGTAAAGTCTTATACACTGCTTCCT